AATATAATATTTTTTTTAAATATTTCTAAATATTTAAAATTAATTATAATTTATCGATATGATAATAATATCAACAAGGAGGTTATTAAAATAGCTATTGCTTTTGACAAAACATATCAAAATGGAAATTCTAATGGCAAAATAAAAATAGAAAAATATCAAGAGAAAAATAATTCTAAAAATTAAGATAATATTAATCTGAATGAAATTATGAAAGTATCTTATATGCACATGTAATACATATACTGTTATACATATTTATAACTATAATTATTATATTATTATATGTACTACGTATGTATTATACAATTATTATATTTATATACAATTATTTTTCTATTGCTTATATTTTTTTAAAAAAATTATAAATTATGTCATCGTAAATATTATTTCTTAAATTTACGGATCGATAATATAAAAAAAAAGATATGAACAGGAAATTGAAAATTTTTATCCTAATAATTTACTTAATATATCGCCGTTTGTAGCGTCACAAATTTCTTGCTTGTTAATTTTGCGCGAAAAATACTTATATAATTTAAAAAAAATATTTTTGTAACCAGAAAGATAGCAACAACTTTGCTAAATTGATTTTTTTATTTAATTTTTTTTTTCAGGCATTTACTAGTAAATATTTATATATTTTTATGCAATTAAGAATGGAGAAATGTTCTTAACAACGCATGTGCTATCCTTTCTTATCATCCAAACAAGTCACATTATCAAGTTGTTTTTAATAAATGCCCCCACTCATTATGCCTCACTAGAAGTTTTTCTCCCCTTTCTCAATCATGTAATATTTATGAATTTCATTTTTTACGTACGGGGTGTTCTATTCTATTCACAAATTACTATTATTACATAGACGATCACATTATTTTTTCGTGGAATTTTTATGAAAATAAAATCGAATTAAAACAAATATCTTGTCATTGAAATAATCTTAAAATTTATCTTATTTCTTACTTAATAATTTTAGGTTAGATTAAATGTAATATATAAAAATAATTATATTTTTTAATGATCGAAATATTTATTAGCATACACTTTTATTTGCAATTCTTTATTTCTTATAAACTGTATTTAATCATGAATATACTTTATTAAAAATAATATATAAAAATGAGAAAGATTAGAAATTAATTTAATCGTATTGAATAGAAATTTCCTGATCACTGTATACGTTACATTATAATTATTATTATAGTATACATATATTAAATCGGCAAATCCCCTCTCTTTTATTCTCGAACATAGAGAGGGGGATTCTTTGCTTCTTTCTGACTCTTATGCCCCTTGTGCTAATAAATAAAATATTAACCGATATTAATTGCAGACATTATTCGAAGAATGCCCAAGGAATGCAAATATATAATTCGTGAATTAACAGTATAATATTTACACTTTTGAACAGTGAATATTTTGTGCCTGTATTAATTTTATTTTTTTTCTTTTTTTAGTTTTATTTTTCGATATTATCATTGCGATTTCAATTCTTCCGTTTCAAAAAGATAATAGAAACAATTATCTCAACATCTAGTTTATGAAGTGTTTATTCATGTTTTTACGATCTCGTATAGTGTATTTTGTGCGTTAACAATTGTTCTAAAGAATTAAATATTTTCTGGTTATTTATTATCTATCCATTACTATGGTTCAATTACGGCGCCAGGTACATTATATTTTTTATAAAATTTCAATTTTTTGATAAAATATTTGTAAAAAAATTTTGTAAAATATTAATATGATAAATAATAATATGAATTGAAATTAAAATATTCTGAAAATATTATTATATCTTGCATAAGATTTAGTTGTTTACTCAGTCTGAATTTTTTATGGAATCTTTATAATTATCTCTTAGTTTCCGTGATGATGTAAGATTCTTACATACATATAAACATTGTTTAAAAAAATAAAAGGATCTAGAAAAATATAAAAATAATTATATTAACAATAATTTTATTTATATAATTGTTAAATAAAATATAATTTAATATTTTTTGTTTTTTTGATTTTTAAAATTACGAGTTATAGATTTAAAATCAGCATAATGTTTTTATTATAATATCGTATTATTAATTTATCTACAATAAAAATATATTATATTAAAATTACATATTTATCAGAAATATAATTAACAGAATTAACAATTAACAGAAATTTATTTATAATTATCAGAAAATATTTTTGTAAACTTCAGTGATTTTTATATTTAATACTTGAATTTATGCTTTTTTGTATTTTTTATATTTTTTTTGTATTTTCAAAATTATGAATTGTATAATTTTAATATGATAATTATAAACAATAATGTTTACAAAAATTGAAAACGTCTAATTATTTATCTGAATAAAACAAAATTTTATAAACTTATGATATTGGCGCATGCGTTCAATGAATGTTCAATGTGACATTTAGTGCGTTTGGTGCCACGTGCATCTACATAGAATATATTTTAAATGTCTTTGCTAATATAAGATTTAAATTTATTTTTAATTTAAATTTTTTATGCATTTTTTAAATTTGTAATAAATTATATAAAATTTAATAAATTAAAAATATTAATGTATTTTGTTGTCTTAAGCTTATTATTGTATATTACTTCCGTTAACAATTTATAAAAAAAATTAAGATAAGCATTTATCGTATTCATCGTAATGTATACGATAAATTATTTATAAATTTTAATATTTTCATCATATTAACTTCTCTTGTTTTTTCATATAATTTCATATAACTAAATATTTCATAATACCGATATAAATCGACAATTGAGATATATTATTATATAGTTTATATTATTATATAATTTTCCACATAGCAATTTTCACAATATGCCAATGAAAAATTTAAATATTACATAATTTATAATTTTAAAAAAGAGTTTGTTTTTTTAAAAAATATATATAATATCATAATAATTTCATATGAACAAAAATATGTTTATTACTTTAATTATGTTAATACATGTATATATTAAGATTACTAAACTATAGTAATTTTATATATAGATTTTGACTTATGGGAATTTTTTGAATCAACTTCAACTTCAACTTAATATCAAACGAAATTCATCATCTTTACAAATTAAAAATAAAAAAGTAATACAACCAGAACGTTCTTTTAGGGTATGTTTTTCTTCAAAAATATATTTATGTATTTTTATATATAGCTTAAAATGATTATTTTAAATAACATTTATAAATTATGTTTTATAGTATACAGATCTATCAGTTCGTCTTGCAGGACCAGAACAATTACAACCAAAACCTGATGTTAGTGATTTAGCATTTGGTAAATATTTTACAGATCATATATTAAAAATATTTTATCATGAAACATTAGGAGGATGGCAAAGGCCAGAAATTGCTCCATTTGAAAATCTAGTTCTTCATCCAGCATCAAAAGTATTTCATTATGCTATAGAGGTAAATATAATTTCAATATTTAAAAAGTTTCCTATTTATTTCAGTTCTCCATTTATTTTAAATATTTATTTATTACATATATTTGATTTTTAATCTTCTAATATATAATTTTTCTAATAGTATGTATTTAATATCTTTAAAAATTAAGTATTTAAATAACAATAAATTTTTATGATTAATATTTATATGTCAACAATAAATTTTTATGATCAATATATGTTATATGTACGTATTTTTATTTTAGTTGTTTGAAGGTTTAAAAGCTTACAGAGGAGTAGATGGTAAAATAAGAATATTTAGACCAGAATTAAATATGGAACGAATGAACAATTCCGCAATGAGAACTGGTTTACCTGTTTTCATTGGAGAGGAATTAATTAAATGTTTATGTAGATTAATTAGTATTGATCAAGAATGGGTACCTCATTCTACTGCTTCTAGTCTTTACATACGGCCAACAATGATAGGAATAGATGTAAGTATATATGTTTAAAAAAATAATTTTTACAAATACAAAATATATATTTGAAATAAATATATTAGTTTTGTAAATTTTAATATAATTTTAATCAGTTAAATGATAGGAATAATAATCATATCACTGATGTCACAGATGTCATAAAAACAAATATATATGATATAAGCAATATATTTCACAATACTTAATGATAATATATGATAAATTGATGCTTAATGCTCTTTTGTTGGGATAGGGCAATAAGATACAGTTACATTGAAAGCTATATTATAATGCATGCATTTAGTATTTTAAAAAGAAATAAGAAGTAATGATTAAAAATTAAGATTAATAGAATTAAATTACAATATCTTAAATTACAATACCTTAAATATTTTATATTTATTTTTTCATTCAATGTTGTACATAAAGTATTCATTAAAATATATATCATTTTTTATGCTTTAGTTTTACTTATAATTATATATTTTTTTTTTATAATATGAAAACTACATTTATATTATATTTCATTTTATAAATTAAAATCAAAAAATTCGTCCATATTATTATTTATTATAAATGATGCAATGTTTTTATTAAAAATAATTCAAATAAAGAAATAATAATCAAAAATAAATATTTCAGTATAAAAAATAATATAAATAATCAATTTTTATGTAATAAATATCAATCATTATATAAAAAAATATTATTTGTATAGCCTATCCTTGGCGTTACATCTTCGGGATCTGCTTTACTTTATGTTATTTTATCACCCGTGGGTTCTTATTTTAAAAAAACAAAAAAAGACATTGGGATATCTTTATTAGCTGATCCTCGATACACAAGAGCATGGCCAGGTGGTTGTGGTAATTATAAAGTAGGTAGCAATTATGGTCCTACAGTATATGTTCAAAAAGAAGCAATAGAAAAAGGTTTACAACAAGTACTATGGCTTTATGGAGATGATAATGAATTAACTGAAGCTGGAACTATGAATGTGTTTATATTCATTTTAAATGATGATGGCGGTGATTACATATATATTTTATTGCATTTAAGTATTATATATATATTTTACTGAGAAATATTTTTAATTTTTATTGTTTTATCATTTTAGAGAAAGAATTAATAACACCACCATTGACAAGTGGTTTGATTCTTCCTGGAATTATAAGAAATTCTATTTTAACATTAAGTAAAAAATGGAATCAATTTAAAGTTAGCGAAAGAAAAATTTGTATGGATGAAGTTTGTCAGTTACTTTCAGAAAACCGAGTAAGATTTTTTTTTAAATATTTACAATTGAAGTTTACGATTGAATATCAAAAAATCATAATTTTATTTTAGTTATTGGAAATATTTGGAACAGGAACAGCTTGCATAATTAGTCCAGTATCTTACATAGACTTTGTTGGACAATTATTATATATACCTACAATGGAACATTCTAATCCTGTTTACAAAATGCTTTTGAAGCATTTATCTGATATACAATATGGTGTTATACAAGATCACCCTTGGGCGATACCTATTGAATGAAAATAGAATAATTTATTACGATTATTTACTAAATAATCGTAAATAAAAATGATTTCATATCTATACTACAATTGAAAATAATATAACTCTAGTGGTGATTTTATTGCTAGTTTTATATGAATATCATTTCTATTTATTTATATGTATGATTTCTGATCAAAAGAGCTTTTAAAGCGACTTCTTTTAGAATTTAAAAGAAGCAAATATGTATTGAAAATTAATCTCAGGGAATAATTGTTTATTATCGAAAACAAAATAATTGTTAATTTTGAATTTTAAGAATTGATACAACGATTTGAGAGAGAGAGAGAGAGAGAGAGAGAGAGAGAGAGAGAGAGAGAGAGAGAGAGAGAGAG